GGGGGGGGGAGTGGGCTCGTAAAATTGATTAATGACTTCCCACTTCTAAATAATGCGTCAACAGTTGGCATGTTGTCAAGTGTCCCAAGGACTTTTGGCCAGGATTGCAGGATGAGAATTTAACCATAAACATTGCCTCAGTCATAATCTTTTCATGGGCATTGCCTCAGTCATATGTTTTTTCTGGCTACGGCCCTGCATATATTTAAACGTTACAAACCACCGAAGAAAATGACAGTTTTACTGCACCCTCAAGGTTTTACAGATACAGTGACGAGAAAATAACACAAATTCTATCAAGCCGTTACGTAACTCAACCAGTGTTTCAACTAGAGTTCGCTCCATAAAGGAAACTAAGAGCTTTGGTGCTACTTAAACGCTTTACACTGTACTGTAAATATTTCAGACGCTTTAAATTTTGGACACTGAATTAATTAAAAATTTTGGACGGTTTTATTTACGGACACTTATATTTTGTCCGAAATTAAAATCGTCCGAAATTTTTTTTTTTGTGATGAAGTAATGTACCCTTTGAGAGGACAATAGAACAAACAACAGAAACAAAGCCACTAGCCCTAAAACAATAACAGCTGCTAACAATGAAGAGAATTACAAGCTTACGAGAGCTGCTACAGTTCTGAAACGACACCCTTTAATTTCATTTATGGTTTATTTGCAGGAACCCAAGTCACCCGGATCTAAAGTGCTGGCAGGGACCGCGAAAACGTGACGTACCAGAAGAAGTGAACAGAACAGGTGATTTAGAGGTCGAGTCTGCAGCAGATGAGCATGATTTAGTGAAGGATACCACACCTACAGGAAACACTGGACAAGGGGAAAGTAACGGAACAGTTTGTAAGGAGAGCAAAGATCACGCGGCCATTAATGGGCATGTAGAGCCGGGGGATCCATCTCAGAATGGGCTCACGAGGGTGAAGCAAGAAAGACCCTCTACACCACCCCCACCTGTGGATGGCCCTGGTGACACCAATAATAACGTACAGGGCACAAAAGCGGCGGTTTTGGACCCTAGTTCAAATGTGATGGCAACAGCACCTGCTTCGTCAAGTAGAGCTCCTAGCTCTTTTAGTACGAGTAGTGAAGCTGAGTTACGTGTCGATGCTGGCGAAGGGAGACTAGGTGTGGTGAAGAAAGAGGAAGAACCAGTGTCTCCGATCCCTGCGTTAGTCCCTGTTGGTGAACAGACAGCTTACATAAAGAGCGGACCGTCATCTGACAAGGGAAAGCCCGAAGAACTGTCCAGCACTAAATCAGATAATTCTCAGCCCTCTGTCAAATCTGAGAGTGACAAAGAAGTTGCTAGGCAACCAGGGCAACCGAACGCCTCAGTAGGGTCTTCTGGAGCAAACTCTGACGCCAAGGTACCTAGTGTTGAGAGGACGCCTCAGTTGGGATCTGATTCACGGGTTAAACAAGAGAATGACACCATGAGTGCAGCGAGTGATAATACGGCGAGTGATGGGAAGGAAGCGAATCAGGAATCGGCGCAAAGCATGTCGGATGACGAGAGCGTGGGAGCTATTAATAACTTGTTGGATGACATCACTCAGATACAGGATGACTTGGAAGGTCGGATGGATGACATTGAGCAGCAGTTGACAGGTGAGATATCAAGGAGCTCAGTCACGGTATTTTGAGTTATTTTGGACGCGTAAAAATCTACTTTTAAATTGTAGCAAACCTGGAAATAAGATAGAAAAACACCAAAGAGATAATAAACCATAAAGGAACAACAATGATTAAGGATGGAGAAGATTAACACCAATTACAAACGACGAACTTTTAGCTGGGGCAGGTGAAAAGATCATAAAACTGGGTCCTCATGTATGCACGCATAGCTGTACAAACACGGATGCACGCACGCGTATCTCGCATACGCACGCACGCACGCACGCACGCACATCACTCACGTCAACGTGCGTTCTTCACGCTTTCGTCTTGCTTATCCAAGCGGTGGCCAACAACAAGATTGTCCACATTTCCTAGTTCATTTCCACGTGGTAACGCTAGTCCACTTATTCCATGTCTGGTAGAGTATTTCTCGAAAATGCCTGTACATCTGTCTGCGATATCAATTTTTACTGTTCATGTCAATATAAGCGACCTGGTTTAGGTTATAAATGTCATAGGATTATGATTTTATTCGAATCGAAATTGTCAGCTCTACCCCCCACACCCCTCTCCGTGCTCTCGGCTTTTATTTCAGTTAGCAATCTTGTGTTGTTTTTGCTTTATTTCCTTCTTTATTCTTTACTTGTAGTCCTTGAAGAAGCTTATGGCCCACCATCCCAGTCGGCTAAGAAAACAGACTTCAGGAAACTTGTCAAGGATCTTAGTCGTGTAAGGAGACTGCTGCAACAAGTTAGCTGAAGGACGTTGCACTGGAGCTAGCGCCCGTGGCTATGTTCAACCCACTTGTTCAGGTCATCGGAGAAATGCGCTGGACGCATCTCGCTTTAACAAAACTTCTTAGAACTGACAGATTCAGCTGCTGTGATTAATAACGAGTACGAGGGCTGAGTTGTCATTTTGAAGCAGATTCTTAGAGCATAAACTGAGTTTGTAAGGGACGTTATCTGAAAGAAACCCTGGACTTAGTTCATGGCTTCAGTGCACGATTATTTCAGTGAGGTGGAGTCACAATTCAGGTCTGGATCTGAAATAACCTTTGGAGTTTTCGACCCCAAGAGTTTTCTGGGCCTGCAATTGTCATTTAAACTGTTGCTACGTAACCGTGACGTTGCTTCATAACGACAAGCTAACGTGACGTCTAACGTGTAGTGCTCGTGGTATCTTCGGAAATCCTTCGGCATGTTCGACGAGAATGCCGTCAGCGAAACATCTTCCGTCAACGATAAAAATATTAATAATCAGAAAACAAAACCTGTTTGACAATCATGCTTTTTTATGGCACTTGATCGCCAAATTCACCTCCGAGCTTATTTATGTGGTCTCCACTTTCTCTTTTTCTGAAACTATCTTTTACCGGGGCATCATTTCTGTGGAGGCGAAATATAATTTGTTGAAAAAAATTGCCGTAATATTGTGTATTTGAAGCAGAAATGGGAGGCGTCCGTTTTGTAAGCCATGCAAATAAATTTTGAGAAAAAAAATTAAGTCATTATCTGTAAATAGTAAGAAGCTGATGAAATATAAAGAATAGTTAAATAAGCAACTTCTGTCAGGTTTTCTCAAGTCGCAAATTAATCGATATCCATTTTTATCAGTAACGACTTAGAAATTGATAATCAAGTGAAAATAAGCGAGGAGAACCGACGTTTCCAAGTCATCATGACGCCATTGTTGCTGTTTTGGCAAGGAGAGAGCTTAAGCAATGACGACGGCGACGCCGAGGACAACGCCTAGTGGAAAATGAATTTATATTTTACCTTCCAATGTCGCAGATGTCTAGATCCGTTCAGTAGGCTTATAATTGGTTTCAGAACTTACTCGAGCTAAATTTGTAACGCCAGCGTTCAATTCCAAATGAAAATACGAAAAATTAGCCCCCGTCGTTCGCGTTCTCTAAAATACGCAGAACTGCAAGTCATTTCCTGTTATGAAGTCCGCTAGATTTGCAAAATAAATAGAAAAACTACATAATATAAATACTCTGGCGCGCGGCTCAATTAGTTACAGGTTAAACTAAAGTTAAGGGAGCTTATGCGAACCACGTCAAGGAAAACATCACCAAACAAAAGGTTTATGAGCAGAACAATGTCCGCGAATCTTTATGCATTTCGTAGCTGCCTTCTGCAAAACAACAACATGAAATGGCCAAGTTCTGCGTATTTTGGAGAACGTAGGTCACGACGGCAAATTTTTCGTATTTCTTTCTGGAATTGATTGCTGGCATTACATACTTAGTTTACCAGGTTCAGATGGTTACGAAATTCGAAGGTAAAATGTAAATCCATTTTGTTGTTAGGCGTCGTCCCTGGCGTCGCTGTCGTTGCTTAAGAGGAACTGTACGGGTCCGCGCCGTACAGAACCTGGAGCAATAGCGACGGCGACGCCACGGACGACGCCTCTTAAAAGCATAGGCACGCTAGGCGTGCAAGAGTTATCTTTTTTGTGTGAAATGTCGGAGAAAGGAGCATTCATGGAGCTGTTTTCAGTAATGATTTGGTTAATCTGACAAGTTTTTTTGGTTTTGATGTACCGCAAAAAAGAAACTGGGAATTTATGATGTACATGCGATGTTACATCGGTCATGGTAAGATAGCTAAATAGTAAGCCACAAAATGTTTGATTGAACAAACTACAGTAATCTGACACTTCTCCAGATTAATGTAGATACCATCTTATTTTCTAACAGGCAATTTGATTCGTTCTTTGATACAACCCGCACTGTGATTGGTGTAACAGGCGCACATGCATAACTCCCTCACTCACCGATCACATAACCCTTCCAACCCCCAAGAGGGATTTTTGCTCAAAAATACCTAAGTCAATTTAGAGACTCTTTCGCATTTTATACGAGTCATAAGTTTACCCTTTTTACACAACACAACTTCACCGAAAATAGAAAGAAAGAGAAAAAAAACCTCTGACACGTTGAAAGTCTGATTTAATTAAGTTGCACTTCAACTTGGTGCCGCGCAGTCTTCAAAGAACATTTGAACAGTTTTCATACTTTTTACCTTTAAAAATATCGGACTGAAATGAATGTCATCAAATAAAACTATTAAACTGCTAGTGAAGAGAAGTAAAAACCGTCCAGAAATGAAAGCTTTCTTGTTTAATATCCTGGAAACAATAGCCGATAACTTCTCAGCTCAAATTGAATTTACTCCCATATAAAAAACAAAAGTGTTAATTTACCATTTGTTACTAAACATAGCAAACATCTCGTGGGAAAGAGTGGTGACGATTCGTCCACTCTAATTGAATTTACTCCCTTGTGTAAAACAAGAGTGTCAAATTACACTTTGTAACTAAAAAACAAAAATAACTCGTTATATTTGCACGCAACAAGAACAAAACAATCGTTACCCGCATTTACTACTGTAAACGTTAGAACTGTTTCGAATCTAGTCTCGTCCCCTCTAAAACATGTCCTAAGAACTAGAAGCGACGATTCGTGACCTGATTGAATTTACTCCTTGTGAAAAACAAAAAGTATCAAGTTACCTTTGTAACTAAAAATGAAAATATCCTGAGAATATCCTGCATACTACTAACTCGCGAACTGTTTCAAACCTCAAGGCTCATCTCGTTCATTTAACTAAAATCCTCAGCCTAACCCACAGAAAATGTCGAAGTAAACCCAATATATGAATACTTCCTCCTCTTTTATAGAAGAATAAATATGGCTGGTCTGAACTCTATCGGGATCAGATCTTCTCACATACCATTTACCTTTACAACAAGAAATTTGCTTGGCTGTTTATAGCAGATCCAATCTGACTGGTGTGACATACATACATCTCTCACTCACTCACTCATCCATTGACCCGTCGATAACATACCCGACGCGCCGACTAAGAGGTATTTTTGTTTTACAAAAAAATAACTCAAAAAGGATATACAATTTAACTTTGAATTTCGCAATCTTCTGGATCAAACTAGATATATAATACCTGCGATCAACTTCCACAGAAAATACGAAAAAGTAGCTATCGTGGCCCACGTTCTCTAAAGTACCCAGATCTTGGTCATTTCACGTTGTTGTTTTGCAGAGGACGGTCATCGCGGTTTGCGCACGCTCCCTTATGAAAATATTCCGCGAGTCCTGTTTATGAAGTCCGCTAGATTTGCACAATAAATAGAAAAACTACGTTACATAAATACTTTGGCGCAAGGCTCAATTAGCTATAAGCAACACTTAAGTTATCACCACGGCGGCAACGGTATAAACAAGAACGCTACCGAACAAAAGGGTTTGATGAGTAGAATAGCTGCGCACGTGCGTTAGAAATCTTTATACGTTTCTTTGCGTCACCTGCAAAACAACATACACCTGAACCTCGCGCGATACCGGTGTCTGCATGTTTCAATATTCGTGATGAGAGGAGTAACTGCTTGTTAGACAAATCGCTTTTACAGACCAAAGAAGATTACATTATGAAAACTTGAAAATCAAAGCTGGAACATAGCTTTCAAGCTTCGTAGTATCGTGAACAAGCGACATATTGCTATTTTGACCCAAAGCACGAACAAATCCAACATAGTTTTGCTGTGGTCACGAACTTTTAAGACAGTACAGCGACGCAATTTCACCATCCCATGGCTTTTTTTTTTTTTTTTTTTNCGCTTGCATTGTGATACATTATGCGCCCATTTACACGCGCCGCCAAGATTTTCTTGAACTCTGAACCGAGTTCCGCTTTAAAATACCCGCATCTACGATATTTGAACAACTTCCAAACTTGTCAAAGACAAGGCCAAGTCACGGCAAAAATATGCGCACGTGTTGCGGCATTCAGCCATGCCACACCTCCGAGAAACCTGATCTGATCAATTTACCAAAGCTTGCTTTTGAATCTGATACTCAATGGAACACCAGGCAGTTGCCAAAAAACAAAACAAAACTCCCGACCTCCAGCGCAGATTTTTCAGTTAAGCGATTACTTCGCCTTGTCAAATTCCTGCTCAGAGCTTTTGTCTTCTGCGCGAACAATTTAAAATGTTTTTACTTCCTTTGCTTTACGTCAATGGTTGAGTTGTATAGTCGGTTTACACCGAGGATGAGTAGATTTTTGAAGTAAGACAGGAACCTCAGAAGTGAGGCTTTTAATTTGAGTCGCGCAGCAAAGCAAGCTCTAATTTGTCGATTTTTTCCACGGCTTTCAAAACACTTAACTACATTAAGGTAAACAAGTTACATTGGGCTAAATATATAATCGTGAAACATTAATGCGTCGTTTCTGTTCGTCGGCAAATAACAACGAATTGTTTTGACAAGCCTAGGTGAAATCAGACACCCGCAGTGTTAGCTTGTGTTTAATGTTTCCTGTTATCATTTTCAGAAGCATCGAAACGATTTATAAATTAGAGTTGTCACGGTAATAATTTTGTCTCGGCTTAACTAGGCGCCAGATGACCGATAAACAGAACCTCGTCAAGATTATATCACTAAGAAACTAAAAAAATGCGAACAAGCCGAAGAAGGCGAAAGTAAATATCATAAAAGCAAACTAAAAACAAGATATACTAAGATAATCAAGTAAGTGGAACTTAGAAACTTAATTTTAAGTCACTCGCTTCACCCAAAATTGAATCTCGAGAATTCGAGCCTCCAATGGAAATTGGTTTGAAAAATCGGGTAGCTCGAGAGTTAGCGATTCTATTGTATTTCAGTTTCTCTTCTCTCCTATATATGATTCAGCGAATGACAAATCGTTAGCTAATTAACAAATGGTAAACGCCATAGCGTGTACTATTGTGGCACGCGGGAGGTTGCTAAGCTCGAAAGAAGCGTAAGAGTCGCACGAGGCGATAGCCGAGTGCGACTCTAGCTTCTTGAGTGCTTAGCAAACCTCCCAAGTGCATCCATAACTCAATAGTGCACGCTATGGCGTTTACCATTTGTTTATAACATAACATTGAGACATTGGAACAACAGAAGTCCTTTTATTGAGCTACATCACAAAAAACATGTTCGAGAAAACTAGCGCGCGAAAATTCATTCATGACAACCGACTGCACACCAGTAACTCGATAAAGTTTCATCTTCAGACAACTGTGAAGACAGTTTCGCATTTCTGGCAG